AACAACAACAAACCAGAAGTCATGTTCTCTGATCAAAGCGTAGATAAAACTCTATGGTATTTTCCCCTGATCAAGTATAACGACTGACAATATTGGGATTGTACGATGGTCAAGTAAATGTGTAACTACAAATCAATAGTTCTGGGATCTGATGAAGGTAGACCTGAAAAATGTGAAGGGTTGATTTTAACAGAAGAGTGAATTGATTGTTAAGACTAGACATAATAGAATACTCCAGAATAAAATGTAACTGGTTACATTATTAAACACATTATAACTATATTGTTCACCAATAAAAAGTCTGGCAAAAACAAATGGAGCCAAAGGTTTATTTTAACTTACAAAAAATTGGATGCAGACACCAATGACAGAGGTTTTCGATTAAGATAAAATCATAAACTCACAAATAGGCTAGGCCATATCAAGATCAGACACAGAGGGGTAGTGAAGTAACAAATCAATGTGCTATCGGAAGACATGGATATGAGTTGACATAGCAACAGCCATTCCTCTCCGAGACGGACTACCTTTTCTCATGTCTATACCAGACACTGGTCTAGTTAGCGGTTTACACAATTAGCACATCCTACAGGATAACAAGGGACTGAATGTCAACAACGAAAGTAACAACGGATGGTAGAGAGAAAGGAATGCAACACATTTCCATTGACAGACTTTGCTGTACCAGAGACATAGGCACAAGCATTAAGAGCGGTTTTTCTTCACATACATTATGCATTTGCCTCAGAAGCATATCTCCCTGAGCATAAAGCCAACAGAGTGTTCAGACACAACTTCCCTTGAAGATCAGTTTGACTATTAGTCCACATCTTTTCATAGGGGTCACCTGGTTAAATAAAGGTGAAATAAATAAATAAAAATAAATAAATGGCATATATCGTGACTACTTGATCCTACAGTCCTAGATGTACAGATCGCAGTCCTCCTGATCAGCAAGTTGACACCACAGTTCCATACATCATATGGGAAAGTGTCACGTTTGCAATTTCTATATTCAAAACCATGACCTCAGCATGGACACATTATGCATATATTGTCATTCTTTCTGAATGCCAACGAGAAGCAACAAGACTATACAGGAAAGTCTACTTCAGAGGCAGGTTGTCATATCTCACTTTGATGTCAAAGGTTATATCCATTCAGATATCCATCTGGTGTTATACCGTTTGCCCAACGATCTGTGGCAATCATCATGACATTCGTTACAGTTACACAGAGAACAGTTGACTGACTGGACCAATACAGTAACAATGACTAGGACAGTGTTTGGGATTCAAAGATGGTGGGTCAAAAGTTCCTAATGTGTTGCCTAACGGGTGGTGGTAGACAATACATGTTGTGTTATTAGATGTATTTGGTGAGTCAGCCTGAATTCACGAGGCTTAGGTGAGTCACACAGAACACAAAACTGGTTGGGAGCTGCTGTCCTAGGGTTCCTTTAGCTTTGTTCTCAGTAGGTTTTGCATTAACACACCTGCATCTAAATGCAAATCAGTCACAGTGCTCGGTAGGCCTGGAGGGCCAGGAGTGTGGGGGGAAATGATTTAAGCAATAACTGATGTTATTGGAAAGATACTTAAACAGAGTGAAATTAGGTCACCCTCCTTCATAATGGAGAACTGAAGAAAAAGCCATCATAAGATATGTTGACAGTGGCTAGACCAGGGGTGGGCAATCATTTTGGTTCGAGGGCCACATCGGGATTGAAACAATTTTCAGAGGGCCGCACAGATTTTTCCGAAAGCAATTTGCGGTCCAGAAAAATGTAAGTTATTTGAAAATATATAGGTCCATTACAATTTCTACATACATATTCATTTCCACCCACCCCTGGGCTAGACACAAGGAAAGCTGTTTTTTATCCTAATATACAGTACTTTCCCTACACTTTTCATTCGGGTGGGCAAAACAGTGAACAGTGAACCAATAAAATAACAAATTCCTTCATATCTTCAAGTATGGAGGGATTAAAAAAGGTATCAAAACTACCATGGAGGTGAGGTACTGTAATTCATGCACTGCTGGTTTACCAGACCTTGGCACAGTAAGGGAATAAAACACAAATGACCTGACAACAAATATGCACGTTAAATCAACCTTTTAGTATTGCTGAACTTTTTGTTTCTTTTAGCACTTTTATTGAGCAACTCCATGTTATGTTTTGGCACTAAAAGCTGATGAAAATGCATTTGATTGGTTTGTAAGAGGGGATATGATGACGGTACTCTCCCTCGTCCTAGTCATCTGAACTAGGCTGTGTGAAGGTGCAGACAACAGGAACAGTATGCACTTCTAGCATTGTGGAGAGAGGAGGGAAGCATACCGTTTGTACCACCAGCCTTTCTCCTAACACCTCACCTCCAGCACAGACTCAACCCTATGTCTCTGGCCCTAGTCATCCACCGTGATGTTGCGGAACAGGTAGGCCATGGACTCCCCGTTGTGGATGCGGCGGATGGCCTCGGCCAGGATCATACTGACGTCCACTGTCTTGATCTTGGGACACTGGAGCTTCTGTACCTCGTGAGGGACGGTGTTAGTCACCACCACCTGGGGGGCAGACAGACAGGGGTCAGAGGAAGAAACACCATAACGAAGGTCGGTCGTGTGCAGTAGATCAGTGTTGATATTACATGTAGAATCGTTTGGAAATTAATAGAAAATGATGGCCGACGTACTGTGGTCAAAGGCGATAGGACGGCCGGGCCATCCGCTGCTTTCAACCGTTCGTAGGCGTGGTCTATTTTGTCTCATACTCAGATTGAACTGTGACTGACTACTGTATCTTAGAACAGCCTTTATACAGGCGACCAAACATCCTACGAATCAATTTGCAATACCTTGCACACAGGTGGTACATAGAAAGTGTGGCCGTTGTCTTTGTTGTAAAGGGATTGAAAAGCTTTTACGATGAGGAACTGAGCACTTCCCCTTCAACATGTAGTGATAAATTCAGAACACAGGGCTGCTGTTTGTTTTTTTTTTCACCTTTATTTAACCAGGTAAGCCAGTCGAGAACAAGCTCTCATTTACAACTGCGACCTGGCCAAGATAAAGCAAAGCAGTGCGGTAAAAACAACAATAACACAGAGTTACATATGGAATAAACAAAACGTACAGTCAATAACGCAATAGAAAATCTATATACAGTGTGTGCAAATGTAGTAAGTTATGGAGGTAAGGCAATAAATAGGCCATAGTGCAAAATAAATACAATTTAGTATTAACACTGGAGTGATAGATGTGCAGAAGATGATGTGCAAATAGAGATACTGGGGTGCAAATGAGCAAAATAAATAACAATGTAAATAACAATATGGGGATGAGGTAGTTGGGTGGGCTAATTACAGATGGGCTGTGTACAGGTGCAGTGATCGGTAAGCTGCTCTGACAACTGATGCTTAAAGTTAGTGAGGGCGATAAGTGTCTCCAGCTTCAGAGATTTTTGCAGTTCGTTCCAGTCATTTGCAGCAGACAACTGGAAGGAATGGCGGCCAAAGGAGGTGTTGGCTTTGGGGATGACCAGTGAGATATACCTGCTGGAACACATACTACGGGTGGGTGTTGCTATGGTGACCAATGATCTAAGATAAGGCAGGGATTTGCCTAGAAGTGATTTATAGATGACCTGGAGCCAGTGGGTTTGGCAACGAATATGTAGTGAGGGCCAGCCAACGAGAGCATACAGGTCACAATGGTGGGTAGTATATGGTGCTTTGGTGACAAAACGGATGGCACTGTGATAGACTACATCCAATTTGCTGAGTAGAGTGTTGGAAGCTATTTTGTAAATGACATCGACGAAGTCAAGGATCAGTAGGATAGTCCGTTTTACGAGGGCATGTTTAGCAGCATGAGTGAAGGAGGCTTTGTTGCGAAATAGGAAGCTGATTCTAGATTTAACTTTGGATTGGAGATGCTTAATGTGAGTCTGGAAGGAGAGTTTACGGTCTAACCAGACACCTAGGTATTTGTAGTTGTCCACATATTCTAAGTCAGACCCGCCGAGAGTAGTGATTCTAGTCGGGCGGGTGGGTGCAAGCAGCGTTCGAATGAAGAGCATGCATTTAGTTTTCCTAGCGTTTAAGAGCAGTTGGAGGCCACGGAAGGAGTGTTGTATGGCATTGAAGCTCGTTTGGAGGTTTGTTAACACAGTGTCCAATGAAGGGCCAGATGTGTACAAAATGGTGTCGTCTGCGTAGAGGTGGATCTGAGAGTCACCAGCAGCAAGAGCGACATCATTGATATACACAGAGAATAGAGTCGGCCCGAGAATTGAACCCTGTGGCACCCCCATAGAGACTGCCAGAGGTCCAGACAACAGGCCCTCCGATTTGACACATTGAACTCTATCTGAGAAGTAGTTGGTGAACCAGGCGAGGCAGTCATTTGAGAAACCAAGGCTATTTAGTCTGCCAATAAGAATGCGGTGATTGACAGAGTCAAAAGCCTTGGCCAGGTCGATGAAGACGGCTGCACAGTACTGTCTTTTATCGATTGCGGTTATTATATCGTTTAGGACCTTGAGCGTGGCTGAGGTGCAGCCATGACCAGCTCGGAAACCAGATTGCATAGCGGAGAAGGTACGGTGGGATTCGAAATGGTCTGTTTGTTAACTTGGCTTTCAAATACTTTCGAAGGGCAGGGCAGGATGGATATAGGTCTGTAACAGTTTGGATCTAGAGTGTCACCCCCTTTGAAGAGGGGGATGACCGCGGCAGCTTTCCAATCTCTGGGGATCTCAGACGATACGAAAGAGAGGTTGAACAGGCTAGTAATAGGGGTTGCGACAATTTTGGCGGCTAATTTTAGAAAGAAAGGGTCCAGATGGTCTAGCCCAGCTGATTTATAGGGGTCCAGATTTAGCAGCTCTTTCAGGACATCAGCTATTTGGGTGAAGGAGAAGCGGGGGGGGCATGGGCAAGTTGCAGCGGAGGGTGCAGAGCTGGTGGCCGGGGTAGGGGTAGCCAGGTGGAAAGCATGGCCAGCCGTAGCAAAATGCTTATTGAAATTCTCGATTATCGTAGATTTATCGGTGGTGACAGTGTTTCCTAGCCTCAGTGCAGTTGGTAGCTGGGAGGAGGTGCTCTTATTCTCCATGGACTTTACAGTGTCCCAAAACTTTTTGGAGTTAGTGCTACAGGAAGCAAATTTCTGTTTGAAAAAGCTAGCCTTTGCTTTCCTAACTGATTGTGTATATTGGTTCCTATATGCATATCGCGGGGGCTGTTCGATGCTAATGCAGTACGCCACAGGATGTTTTTGTGCTGGTCAAGGGCAGTCAAGTCTGGGGTGAACCAGGGGCTATATCTGTTCTTAGTTCGGAATTTTTTGAATGGGGCATGCGTATTTAAGATTGAGAGGAAAGCACTTTTGAAGAACATCCAGGCATCCTCTACTGACGGAATGAGGTCAATATCCATCCAGGATACCCGGGCCAGGTCAATTAGAAAGGCCTGCTCGCTGAAGTGTTTTAGGGAGCATTTGACAGTGATGAGGGGTGGTCGTTTGACCGCGGACCCATTACGGACGCAGGCAATGAGGCAGTGATCGCTGAGATCCTGGTTGAAGACAGCGGAGGTGTATTTAGAGGGTCAATTAGTCAGGATGATATCTATGAGGGTGCCCATGTTTACGGATTTAGGGTTGTACCTGGTAGGTTCCTTGATAATTTGTGTGAGATTGAGGGCATCTAGTTTAGATTGTAGGATGGCCGGGGTGTTAAGCATATCCCAGTTTAGTTCACCAAGCAGTACGAACTCTGAAGATAGGATGTTACAGATGTAGGATCTTAATTTGATCACCCTGTTGCAGGAAATGTAATGCAATGCAGGAAATGTAAAACTTGGTAGTGTATTTAAAGTTTTAAAAGGGTTCTGAAGTTTGTCATTTCCACTTCGAAATTTCAGACTTGATTTTCCCTTACAAAAAATTTATCAACCCCTACAAAAAATGTCCATTAATTATAATCCACATAATTCACATTTCCTGTTGCGACAGGATTATTTTCCTGCTGTAGCAGACTGTCTCAAATTAAGATCCTACGTCTGTATCTCACCTCGTCGATGGCAGACTCCTCAATAAGGCGGGGGGCATCAGCAGACAGCAGCCCATGTGTAGCCATGATGTAGATCTTGTAAGCTCCTCTCTCCTTCAGAATCTCAGCTGCCGCCACAAAGTCCTCCACGTCGTCTATGATGTCATCCTGGGAAAGAACAGCAACCATGGGATTGGAAATGATGTATTTTGTATGAGACATATCAGCATAGATATGCCTGTAGTTCCTTCATCCATAATCTAAGGGTGTCATATTCTGTTATTAAATTCAAATGTGGCAGAATTTAGCAAATTAATTTCAAGTGGCTCATTTTAGCACAGGCCTTCCTGTACAAATCACAAACGGCCCAAACAAAGGGGCACATTTCTTACAACAATGATGGCGATTCTTCCTCCCACATCTCCTACAACAGTGATCGGGGGCTTCTCCTTGGCCATCATTACTGAAAAGGAAGAACGAACTGGTCACTGCTACAGTCATCACATACAGTATCCGTAGGCCTAAACAATAAAACTAATGAGCATACATCTCAGAGTAGATTGGGTAAGATGGGTTAAAAGCAATTACAAACTCCAATTTCAATCACTGTTATGATTATGTATTCTTCAATTAGTTCATTTTCCATGCAATTCCACCCCTTCTTGGTAACTGGTTAACATTCTCTTTTCAAAATGAGATGTAATTGGGAAATTTGATAAATTCTGTCAATTGTCCCCATTATACTCTTATAGATTTAACTAGAATGCAAAACTCATTACAGCGCACGCAGAATCAAAATGACAGGCCTTTTGCCCAGCATACCCAATCAGACTGATATCGAATTGCCTCCACAACACTGCCTGCTCAGAGCAGACATTTGGCAACAGTTTGCATATAGCAATATGCACAACCTAATCTTGTCGTTAATCCATCAAAAACGATAGAGGCAGACAAGCACTGATGAGGTAATCACACGCTTACTAATGTTCCTGGTTTGTCTTATTGAACACCACTGTTGTCAGTCAATGGGGGAAGCGCACAATCAGCGGATGGACAATCTGCCAGCCAGAGTGGGGAAGCTGATTGAGGGAGTGAAAGCTAGAGAAGAGTAGGGAACACAGGTTCATGCCTGGAACACATGCCTTCCTTACAGGGGACCACACACAAGCAATAATAAGCACTGGAACATTTCAGCTTTTCAAAATGCATCAACATCATCACTAGGTTTTAAAATCTTCTGTAGTCTTAAACATATGTACTACCTAGAATGTTTTCAGGTAGAATATAGAAATTCATTGAAATTATCTAGTAAAAACTATAGTTAGGCCTACACATATGTTGGTGATAAACTTGTCTTGGATATATGTGAGGCAAGAGTTGAAAAGCCTGAAGATCTCAGCAATCCTCTCAATTAGGCTAGAAGCTAGCATTGCTGAGCTAAGGAATACATTTGCTATAATACAACTATACAGCTAATATGTGATAGTCATGGTTTGAGGTTATAATCAGATTTGCACACCCAAACCAGTAGATGTGTTGTTATTGACATGTAGGGTCCACTTTTGGGATTTATAGATCCAAACACCTTCTGATTGCTGTTTCTCTGTACAACTCTGGTTATTTAAATGTGGGAAGGCCCAAGGTGTGTGACACAGCAGCCCACTGGTTTGTATGGGCAGCAGGGAAGAGGTTGAACACAGCATAACCCTGACCTCACCTACTGTGGTGTACTGTATTGTGTGTGTTCAGCAGCACACACAAGAACATGTTGCCACCCACTCAAAAATCTGGATCTTTGCTTTAGATTCAGAAAAAAATGATTATCCTGTTTCCTCTTCCTATCATGACGTATTAGGCCTATATATCAAAGGCATGCTTAATTAGTATTAAAACATGCATTTCTGAAGGCCAGGTGTTAGACTGCTTCGGTCGAGGCTTCAATAGGGAAGCATGATGTGTTGATTGGCAAGATGAGTCCGGATGAAAATAAAAACATGTATCTGGGAGAAATGGTTCCATTTGACAAATGATTGAAGAGAGTCTCACAAAGCAACTAACGGAGGGCTTTCGGCCATCTTGCAGAACAATCTAAAGTCTCTGCCTCTGACACCGGCACACTGCTGGAGACCTGACTGTGGATCAAGGAAGACATTGATCCCATTCCTTATGATGATTTCATCTACAGTATGTAGTGAGGGTAACAACAGGCGTCAGCACATCCACTATGGATCTGTAGCGCTAGAGCACATCAACTAGCTGATCCATATCATTTTTAATTGCCATGGGCGGCAGGTAGCTTAGTGGTTAAGAGCGTTGTGCCAGTAACCGAAAGGTCGCTGGTTCTAATCCCCGAGCCGACTAGGTGAAAAATCTGTCGATGTGCCCTTGAGCAAGGCACTTAACCCTAATTGCTCATGTAAGTCGCTCTGGATAAGAGCGTCTGCTAAATGACTAAAATGTAAATGTAAATGTAATTGGTCCATTGATAGTATTTTTTGTGCTCACAACTGAGGACCCTGTACTTAAGACTGTTCGTTGGCAAGATGATTCGAAAACCCTTGATCACTACATGCACGCATTGAGGAACCATTTGGAGAGGAACCATTTGGTGGTCAAAAGCTAATTAAAGTTTACGGTCGTACTTGGGAGCTCTATGCCTGGGAACGGAGCTTGTTGTTTGCTGCCAGCTATTACCAACAAATAAACACCACGTTAACACACATCCACAGAGACTCCACATAACATAGACTACTAAGACATGAAGCCAGGACTTGGAAAATCCTCTTACATTAAGCAAAATCTTTCAAGCTAACCCGTGTGTTACTTAGTGAAGAATCCAAAACTATTCCTCTAGGACTTCAAGCTTATTCATTCAAGAAATGTGTAGGGCAGTTTGCAACTGACCCAGGCTTACAATAAGAGGATTTTTAAAGTCAAGGATAATAAATGAAGTAAATAATACAAATATTATTACAAACACTAAAACTGAAGGGGGGGGGCAGCCAGTTGGGCATAATAAATACTCTGGAGTCATTTGCCAATTACACAAAGCCCAGACAGAAAGTCTGACCATATTTTGTCAGACCCAACTGTTTTAACAGCCTTACCACGAATGTACTGAGAAAATGTGTTGAACTACATATCCAATATCAAGTTAGTGTCATCCTCTCAAAATGAAAAACAAAATGTATGTTCTCTTATCCAAAATGTCATTTTTAAACATCTAAACCATTCTAAAACAATTTGGTATGAATGCCTTAAGAACATTTTACGGAGGCTAAGGTTGCAACATTAGTAGAGGCTGTGTATCTGTGGTGTTAGAGCGTGCAGTAAATAGGCTACAAAATTCAAGATCCTTTAAAAAGAATGTCAGGTGTTAAAATGGTTACAGCAGAATCATTACTTTTATGAAGCTGTTAGTGCTGACATTAAATTCATGATGAGGATTTTGCCATGGATGTTTTGGGGGTTTGAAATAATGATTCAAATAATTCCGACGAACATTTCACACTACACTTAACATACTTTTGGATGCAACCATTGAAGAGCACGGGCATCTATGCATCTATCTATATCTAACAGACATAGCCTGACCAACACTAATGAATTGGGGAAGTCACAGAATAGATACAGTTTCAATTGATCTGATGACTACAACTATACTGGCTGGTACCAGCTATATAGGGCTCTAGAGAGGCTTAAAGGGAGAACACAGCCCAGGGTAGTCTGAGTGTTCCATAATTGCCTGTAGTCTCATCTAAGGCATGATTCGGCGATTAGCAATTATTTCAGGCTCATTGCACAGGCCTTCTGTACAATCACAACGGCCCAACAAAGGGGCACATTTCTTACAACAATGATGGCGATTCTTCCTCCCACATCTCCTACAACAGTGATCGGGGGCTTCTCCTTGGCCATCATTACTGAAAAGGAAGAACGAACTGGTCACTGCTACAGTCATCACATACAGTATCCGTAGGCCTAAACAATAAAACTAATGAGCATACATCTCAGAGTAGATTGGGTAAGATGGGTTAAAAGCAATTACAAACTCCAATTTCAATCACTGTTATGATTATGTATTCTTCAATTAGTTCATTTTCCATGCAATTCCACCCCTTCTTGGTAACTGGTTAACATTCTCTTTTCAAAATGAGATGTAATTGGGAAATTTGATAAATTCTGTCAATTGTCCCCATTATACTCTTATAGATTTAACTAGAATGCAAAACTCATTACAGCGCACGCAGAATCAAAATGACAGGCCTTTTGCCCAGCATACCCAATCAGACTGATATCGAATTGCCTCCACAACACTGCCTGCTCAGAGCAGACATTTGGCAACAGTTTGCATATAGCAATATGCACAACCTAATCTTGTCGTTAATCCATCAAAAACGATAGAGGCAGACAAGCACTGATGAGGTAATCACACGCTTACTAATGTTCCTGGTTTGTCTTATTGAACACCACTGTTGTCAGTCAATGGGGGAAGCGCACAATCAGCGGATGGACAATCTGCCAGCCAGAGTGGGGAAGCTGATTGAGGGAGTGAAAGCTAGAGAAGAGTAGGGAACACAGGTTCATGCCTGGAACACATGCCTTCCTTACAGGGGACCACACACAAGCAATAATAAGCACTGGAACATTTCAGCTTTTCAAAATGCATCAACATCATCACTAGGTTTTAAAATCTTCTGTAGTCTTAAACATATGTACTACCTAGAATGTTTTCAGGTAGAATATAGAAATTCATTGAAATTATCTAGTAAAAACTATAGTTAGGCCTACACATATGTTGGTGATAAACTTGTCTTGGATATATGTGAGGCAAGAGTTGAAAAGCCTGAAGATCTCAGCAATCCTCTCAATTAGGCTAGAAGCTAGCATTGCTGAGCTAAGGAATACATTTGCTATAATACAACTATACAGCTAATATGTGATAGTCATGGTTTGAGGTTATAATCAGATTTGCACACCCAAACCAGTAGATGTGTTGTTATTGACATGTAGGGTCCACTTTTGGGATTTATAGATCCAAACACCTTCTGATTGCTGTTTCTCTGTACAACTCTGGTTATTTAAATGTGGGAAGGCCCAAGGTGTGTGACACAGCAGCCCACTGGTTTGTATGGGCAGCAGGGAAGAGGTTGAACACAGCATAACCCTGACCTCACCTACTGTGGTGTACTGTATTGTGTGTGTTCAGCAGCACACACAAGAACATGTTGCCACCCACTCAAAAATCTGGATCTTTGCTTTAGATTCAGAAAAAAATGATTATCCTGTTTCCTCTTCCTATCATGACGTATTAGGCCTATATATCAAAGGCATGCTTAATTAGTATTAAAACATGCATTTCTGAAGGCCAGGTGTTAGACTGCTTCGGTCGAGGCTTCAATAGGGAAGCATGATGTGTTGATTGGCAAGATGAGTCCGGATGAAAATAAAAACATGTATCTGGGAGAAATGGTTCCATTTGACAAATGATTGAAGAGAGTCTCACAAAGCAACTAACGGAGGGCTTTCGGCCATCTTGCAGAACAATCTAAAGTCTCTGCCTCTGACACCGGCACACTGCTGGAGACCTGACTGTGGATCAAGGAAGACATTGATCCCATTCCTTATGATGATTTCATCTACAGTATGTAGTGAGGGTAACAACAGGCGTCAGCACATCCACTATGGATCTGTAGCGCTAGAGCACATCAACTAGCTGATCCATATCATTTTTAATTGCCATGGGCGGCAGGTAGCTTAGTGGTTAAGAGCGTTGTGCCAGTAACCGAAAGGTCGCTGGTTCTAATCCCCGAGCCGACTAGGTGAAAAATCTGTCGATGTGCCCTTGAGCAAGGCACTTAACCCTAATTGCTCATGTAAGTCGCTCTGGATAAGAGCGTCTGCTAAATGACTAAAATGTAAATGTAATTGGTCCATTGATAGTATTTTTTGTGCTCACAACTGAGGACCCTGTACTTAAGACTGTTCGTTGGCAAGATGATTCGAAAACCCTTGATCACTACATGCACGCATTGAGGAACCATTTGGAGAGGAACCATTTGGTGGTCAAAAGCTAATTAAAGTTTACGGTCGTACTTGGGAGCTCTATGCCTGGGAACGGAGCTTGTTGTTTGCTGCCAGCTATTACCAACAAATAAACACCACGTTAACACACATCCACAGAGACTCCACATAACATAGACTACTAAGACATGAAGCCAGGACTTGGAAAATCCTCTTACATTAAGCAAAATCTTTCAAGCTAACCCGTGTGTTACTTAGTGAAGAATCCAAAACTATTCCTCTAGGACTTCAAGCTTATTCATTCAAGAAATGTGTAGGGCAGTTTGCAACTGACCCAGGCTTACAATAAGAGGATTTTTAAAGTCAAGGATAATAAATGAAGTAAATAATACAAATATTATTACAAACACTAAAACTGAAGGGGGGGGGCAGCCAGTTGGGCATAATAAATACTCTGGAGTCATTTGCCAATTACACAAAGCCCAGACAGAAAGTCTGACCATATTTTGTCAGACCCAACTGTTTTAACAGCCTTACCACGAATGTACTGAGAAAATGTGTTGAACTACATATCCAATATCAAGTTAGTGTCATCCTCTCAAAATGAAAAACAAAATGTATGTTCTCTTATCCAAAATGTCATTTTTAAACATCTAAACCATTCTAAAACAATTTGGTATGAATGCCTTAAGAACATTTTACGGAGGCTAAGGTTGCAACATTAGTAGAGGCTGTGTATCTGTGGTGTTAGAGCGTGCAGTAAATAGGCTACAATATTCAAGATCCTTTAAAAAGAATGTCAGGTGTTAAAATGGTTACAGCAGAATCATTACTTTTATGAAGCTGTTAGTGCTGACATTAAATTCATGATGAGGATTTTGCCATGGATGTTTTGGGGGTTTGAAATAATGATTCAAATAATTCCGACGAACATTTCACACTACACTTAACATACTTTTGGATGCAACCATTGAAGAGCACGGGCATCTATGCATCTATCTATATCTAACAGACATAGCCTGACCAACACTAATGAATTGGGGAAGCTACAGACATAGATACAGTTTCAATTTGATCTGATGGCAGACTGACTACAACTATACCTGGCTGGTACCAAGCTATATAGGGCTTCTAGAGAGGTCTTACAAGGCAGCTCCAGCCCAGGGTGTCCTGAGGTGTTACGGACACAGGGGGGAGAGTGTCGTCCGTCCGCCATGTCAGACTCTGAACACTGAGCCTCCCCATGCATCACTGCCAGGCCCAAACGCAGTCGCTCTGCATAGGACTGAGCTCTGAAAGACAACAGCAAGAAAACACTGGAGAAATGCAGACACACCTTTACATTATTTACATTATATGATCACACTCCAGGGCTCTGTAACTAAATAGTATTTTACCTCTTAGCAGCAGACGGTGACTTTGCAACAATAATGGCGTTTCTATAATCTGGGACCTGAAGGGAAGTGAGAGGAGACCACATTTTACATCGAATAGGCTGCTGTGTGTAGTTTACGATCTTACAACTTTACAACCAGGCATGGCACATGAGCTACAGTGAGATTGTTACCTCCTCCTGGATGTACTGAAGCAGGAAGGGGGAGGCACGCAGGTTGTCCACTGGAAAACTGAAGAAGCCCTGGATCTCCTTCTGATGTAAATCCATTGTGATGATGTGAGTTAAACCTGGAAGGAGAAAGAGAGGGGATGAGAAAAGAGACTGAAGAAACAGCAGTCTGCTTTTAAGAGAAGGTGCAGAATGAGAAATCAGCCACAGCGGCAAGTTTAAAGGGAAATTTAAATCATTTTCAACTTCAAATTCTTCTCCAGCACCACCCCGACATCAACATATGTGAAAATGGCATGTTTCTATGTTTAGTAGTAAAAAAGATAGAGGCAGATAAGTGTTTCCAATGACATCATCAACCAATTAGTAGACAATTAGAAGTCGATGCCTACTCATTATTGGTTAAAATCACATGATGCACACTGATGATGTCATTGGAAACACTTATCTTCCTCTATATTATTTTTCCACAAAACAAAATAAACACTCCATTTTCACATATGTTGATGTTGGGGTGGGGCTGGAGAGGACGAATGTGAAGTTGGAAAATGTAGACATTTTCCTTTAACACAGATGGTCAAGGGCAATGTAAACAGTAAACTGTTAACACTTGCATACAGACTGTAATTACCTGCTTTGGCTAGCATGGAAGCCAGCAGCTTGCACACTATGGAACCCCTCTTCCTCATCTTACACTGCTTGCTGTAGGGGAAGTAGGGGATGACCCCAATGATGTTCTTGGCACAGGAGGTCTTGAGGGCGTAGGCCATGACCAGCAGCTCCATGATGGCCGTGTTCACATCTCTGGTTAAAACAAGGGAAAAGTGTCAATAACAAATAATGATGGTCACATTTATGGTCCGTTCAGTGCAAACCCATGCTGAGCAACTGTCCAGCAGAGGGCAACAATATATGCTCAGTACAGCTTGTGCATGCCAAGCCAGATGACATAAGAGGATGACTATTAATAACACTGGTAGCTATTCATATTATGGCAGATGAGCTTGTGTCTGATTTATAGTGTGTGAATCAAACAGATTTAAATATAGGTAATGTAACCTAACGTGATATGACTGTGTGAATACCCCTCCTACAACATAGATTGATATGCATAGTCCTTAGGGCTGCACCACATTACACACACAGTATTGGTGTGTCTGTGTCCTAGACACAGAAGTGTGGGGGAGATGACATATTTCAGTCTACTCACCTGGGTATGGTCTGGATGATGAAGATAGTTTGGCCGCGAACGGATTCCTTCACATCTACTCTGGTCTCTATCAAGGGTCACATAAAGTTGAATCAACAGCAAATGTCGGTAAAATGCTAACTTTACACTTGCAGCTCCCCAAATGTGTTGAGCCTAGTTTCTGTTAACTAGGGCATAATTATCAAGCCATTGTAAACACTTATCTGTAACATTTCATGTTTTCCAAAGAGAGAAATGCTTTGTATCAGGCCAAACAAATAAGGTGTCATTTGTATTAGCACAGTAGGCAGAGTGACTGGGTTTCAACCAGGGGTTGGAACTGGTTCAGGGAACAGAACCAATTTATTTTTGGGAGGAACAGAATCGGGAATGAAAGTGATCTATACTGTTCCAAAACAGAACAGTTATTTTAAAAGTATGGGAACCAGTAAATAACATTATTTTACGTTCCAGGCATTTTTTTCCAGTCCCACATAAAAACACAACAAAAGCCTATGCAAAGCCCTACCTCTGTCGCTCAGAAACTATACAAATGTAAGACGTGTTTTTGTTTTAATTCTGGTGCCGCTCTGCACACACAAGCTTGTTAGCTAGCTAGCTCTGGTCCAATGGCCAACTCTCTGAAGGTCAGACATTCAAAGTTCCTTCATAGAAGTCGCTCCTCGGTAAGCATAATTCTGTGGGACTACAGGCCTTCTGTAGCTCAGTTGGTAGAGCATGGCGCTTGCAACGCCAGGGGTGTGGGTTCGATTCCCACGGGGGGCCAGTATGAAAAATGTATGCACTCACTAACTGTAAGTCACTCTGGATAAGAGCGTCTGCTAAATGACTAAAATGTAAATGTAATTCAGATAATGCATGTCATAACAACAAGATGCCCAGCGCGTCAAGCCAAGCCTCCTCCTCCCTCTCTCGCTCTCAATTTCAGTCGCATCTCGCACCCTACAAGTGTCTGTCCAATCCATGTAAATAGCTTGCCTGGTCCATAGCAAGCTATTCTAGCTGCACTAATTGATGAAGTGATTTAATGTCGAGCTAAATGTTTTAAAAAAAATCAATTTCAGAGGTTTAAAAAGGAACAAAAATGAACAACATAAACCGTTAATTATTTTGGGTTCGAAACGGTTCACAACTTCATTTTGCTGGTAGGAACAGTGGAACAGAACAAAAAAAATATATATATTTTCAGAATGAAACGATTGGAAAATAATTTTGGTTCCAACCCCTGGTTTAAACCAATGATTTATACAGTGCATTCAGAAAGTATTCAGACCCCTTGACCTTTTCCACATTTTGTTGTTACAGCCTTATTCTAAAGTTGATTAAATAATACCCCATAATGACAAAGCAAAAACAGGTTTTTAGAAATTTTTCCTAATTTATTAAAAAGAAAAAACTGAAATATCACATTTACATAAGTATTCAGACCCTTTACTCAGTACTTTGTTGAAGCACCGTGGCCAAGCACGCCTCCAACTAAATCATCAAGTTTGCAGACGACACAACAGTAGTAGGCTTGATTACCAACAATGACGAGACCGCCTACAGGGAGGAGGTGAGGGCTCTGGGAGTGTGGTGCCAGGAAAATAACCTCTCACTCAACATCAACAAAACAAAGGAGATGATCGTGGACTGAAACAGCAGAGGGTGCACCCCCCTATCCACATCGACGGGACCGCAGTGGAGAAGGTGGAAAGCTTCAAGTTCCTTGGCATACACATCACCGACAAACTGAAATGGTCCACCCACGCAGACAGTGTGGTGAAGAAGGCGCAACAGAGCCTCTTCAACCTCAGGAGGCTGAAGAAATTCGGCTTAGCACCTAAAACCCTCACAAACTTTTACAGATGCACAATTGAGAGCATCGTGTCGGGCTGTATCACCGCCTGGTAAGGCAACTGCACCGCCCGCAACCGCAGGGCTCTCCAGAGGGTGTTGCGGTCTGCCGAACGCATTACCAGGGGCAAACTACCCGCCCTCCAAGACACATACAGCACCCGATGTCACAGGAAGGCCAAAAAAATCATCAAGGACATCAACCACCCAAGCCACTGCCTGTTCACCCCACTATCATCCAGAAGGCGAGGTCTGTACAGGTGCATCAAAGCTGGGACCGAGAGAATGAAAAACAGCTTCTATCTCAAGGCCATCAGACTGTTAAATAGCCATCACTAGCACATTAGAGGCTGCTGCTGCCTATTGAAATCACTGGCCACTTTAAGAAATGGAACACTAGTCACATTAATAATGTTTACATATCTTGCACTACTCATCTCATATGTATATACTGCATTCTATTCTATAATATTCTACTGTATCTTAGTCCATGCCGCTCTGTCATTGCTTGTCCATATACAGTGGGGAGAACAAGTATTTGATACACTGCCAATTTGCAGGTTTTCCTACTTACAAAGCATGTAGAGGTCTGTAATTTTTATCATAGGTACACCTCAACTGTGAGAGATGGAATCTAAAACAAAAATCCAGAAAATCACATTGTATGATTTTTAAGTAATTAATTTGCATTTTATTGCATGACATAAGTATTTGATACATCAGAAAAGCAGAACTTAATATTTGGTACAGAAACCTTTGTTTGCAATTACAGAGATCATACGTTTCCTGTAGGTCTTGACCAGGTTTGCACACACTGCAGCAGGGATTTTGGCCCACTCCTCCATACAGACCTTCTCCAGATCCTTCAGGTTTCGGGACTGTTGCTGGGCAATACGGACTTTCAGCTCCCTCCAAAGATTTTCTATTGGGTTCAGGTCTGGAGACTGGCTAGGCCACTCCAGGACCTTGAGATGCTTCTTACGGAGCCACTCCTTAGTTGCCCTGGCTGTGTGTTTCGGGTCGTTGCCATGCTGGAAGACCCAGCCACGACCCATCTTCAATGCTCTTACTGAGGGAAGGAGGTTGTTGGCCAAGATCTCGCGATACATGGCCCCATCCATCCTCCCCTCAATACGGTGCAGTCGTCCTGTCCCCTTTGCAGAAAAGCATCCCCAAAGAATGATGTTTCCACCTCCATGCTTCACGGTTGGGATGGTGTTCTTGAGGTTGTACTCATCCTTCTTCTTCCTCCAAACACGGCGAGTGGAGTTTAGACCAAAAAGCTCTATTTTTGTCTCATCAGACCACATTACCTTCTCCCATTCCTCCTCTGGATCATCCAGATGGTCATTGGCAAACTTCAGACGGGCCTGGACATGCGCTGGCTTGAGCAGGGGGACCTTGCGTGCACTGCAGGATTTTAATCCATGACGGCGTAGTGTGTTACTAATGGTTTTCTTTGAGACTGTGGTCCCAGCTCTCTTCAGGTCATTGACCAGGTCCTGCCGTGTAGTTCTGGGCTGATCCCTCACCTTCCTCATGATCATTGATGCCCCACGAGGTGAGATCTTGCATGGAGCCCCAGACCGAGGGTGATTGACCGTCATCTTGAACTTCTTCCATTTTCTAATAATTGCGGCAACAGTTATTGCCTTCTCACCAAGCTGCTTGCCTATTGTCCTGTAGCCCATCCCAGCCTTGTGCAGGTCTACAATTTTATCCCTGATGTCCTTACACAGCTCTCTGGTCTTGGCCATTGTGGAGAGGTTGGAGTCTGTTTGATTGAGTGTGTGGACAGGTGTCTTTTATACAGGTAACGAGTTCAAACAGGTGCAGTTAATACAGGTAATGAGTGGAGAACAGGAGGGCTTCTTAAAGAAAAACGAACAGGTCTGTGAGAGACGGAATTCTTACTGGTTGGCAGTTGATCAAATACTTATGTCATGCAATAAAATGCAAATTAATTACTTAAAAATCATACAATGTGATTTTCTGGATTTTTGTTTTAGATTCCATCTCTCACAGTTGAGGTGTACCTATGATAAAAATTACAGACCTCTACATGCTTTGTAAGTAGGAAAACCTGCAAAATCGGCATTGTATCAAATACTTGTTCTCCCCACTGTATGTATATATTCTTAAATCCCATTCCTTACTAGTTTTGTGTGTATTGGGTATATGTTGTGAAATTGTTAGATATTACTTGTTAGATATTACTGCACTGTCGGAGCTAGAAGCACAAGCATTTCGCTACACCCGCTATAACATCTGCTAAACACGTGTATGTGACAAATACAATTTGATTTGATTTGGCTGCCACCACCACGCTTCACCGTAGGGATGGTGCCAGGTGTCCCCAGACGTGACGCTTGGCATTCAGGCCAAATAGTTGAATCTTGGTTTCATCAGACCAATCTTGTTTGTCATGGTCTGAGAGTCCTTTAGGTGCCTTTTGGCAAACTCCAAGCGGGTTGTCATGTGCCTTTTACTTAGGAGTGGCTTCGTTCTGGCCACTCTACCATAAAGGCCTGATTGTTGGGAGTGCTGCAGAGATGGTTGTCCTTCTGGAAGGTTCTCCCATCTCCACAGAGGAACTCTGGAGCTCTGTCAGAGTGAACATCGGGTTCTTGGTCACCTCCCTGACCAAGGCCCTTCTCCCCATATTGCTCAGTTTGGCCGGGCAGCCAGCTCTAGGAAGAGTCTTGGTGGTTCCAAACTTCTTCCATTTAAGAATGATGGAGGCCACTGTGTTCTTGGGGACCTTCAATGCTGCAGAAATGTTTTGGTACCCTTCCCCACATCTGTGCCTCGACACAATCCTGTCTCTGAGCTATACGGACAATTCATTCGACCTCATGGCTTGGTTTTTGCTCTGACATGCACTGTCAACTGTGGGACCTTATATATACAGGTGTGCGCCTTTCCAAATCATGTCCAATCAATTGAATTTACCACAGGTGGACTCCAATCAAGTTGTAGAAACATCTCAAGGATGATCAATGGAAACAGGATCCACCTGAGCTCAATTTCGAGTCTCACACTGATCCCACTCTGACTAAGCCTACTGTACCTCTACCATTTGATACCCAAGCAAAATAGCTACATTTTGGAATGTGTTACATTGTAATTCCGAGACAGTGGGCCCACTACCTCGCACCTCTAGACATGGGAAGAGTTAAGCTAGATCACAGGCACTCCCTCGCTGTTTCAATGTCACTGATAACAGACAGTTCCCAGTTTCACACAGCCGAGACACCCAACATTGTCTCACATTAAATAAATTCCCTTATGCCTCTGAATGTCATTGTCAACATCTAGCAGATTACCAACTCATAAACCCAATAGATGAATGACAGTAAGCAAGAGCTCTGGCTAAATTCAAATGACTTCACCTGTGGTCATGCACCTGCAAACAGCAGCATACACATTGTAGCGTGCTAGCTAGCAACATTAGCTGGTTAGCTATCTAGCTAGCTATCATAACAACACGTACATTTAGCTATTACAATAAAATATACATACTCAGTTATCTTCTTGGCTAGTTCTGTACATGCTGCAGTAGAATTAGCAGAGAAGACCCGATAACCACTTTTTGCGACATTCATTCTGGCAGCTGGTTAGCTAGCTAGCACCTGTGTAAACCGCTAGTACTAACGGCGCTAGCTACTTCTCAAACTACCACACTTGCAGCTTGCTAGCAAGCTGAGTTAACTGTTCGGTAGTCATACGAAGAAAAACACAAAAACGTCAGACATTGATGTTAAAATGCACTTTGTTATTATTAGACCTTATGATCTCCCAAGATAGCTACGCTAGCTGAGTGAAATAAATTGATTGCGTCTAGCTCCTCGTTAGCTTTGCTGTCTGTCTGATTGTGTGTGTGGTTGGCTGGCTGTGCAAGAGATGAAAAAAAGAATCCTGAACCAAATCAAAATACCAATCTAGGAAAAGTCTTATTTAATTAATGTGACAGACCTGAAGCGTGTTATTAGTTGTTATCCATTTGAGTTAGCAATGTATTTATTTTTAGGTGGAAACGGGAGTGTTTTTGAATCAATTAGTTATATTGATTCTTACACTGGGAGTCAAGTAGCCGGCAGATGGCGATATTGAGTCGTTTCAAGTCGTTACCGTCCATCTTATTCTACTAACCTGCTGCGTAAATTCTCTTAACCTGCTGCTTAAGTTTTCATTACCTGCTACGAAAAATCACTTCTGCTAGTCAAAGCCGGGAGACTCGCCCTGAGAACAGTCTTGGTTTCAACTAGTGATGTGAAGTTCGTGAACAATTCATTATTTTTGAACGACTCTTTTTACTGACTGTTCAGTTAATGACAATGACTTTAGTGGTTCGTTTGACCTGCTAGTGCTGGCTGTAATGAGTCCTACCTGCAGCAGGATTTATGAAATGTGAATGAGAGGCTTGTAAGAATCATGACTGTTTGGTGTTTTTAGTTCATCATTTGCTGGTCAGTGGTCCTGCATGCTCTGGGCATTACTTACTCAAATGAACGAAATGAGTCAAAAGATTTGTTATTTTGACTGAATGAGTCGAAAAGATCAGAGTCGGAGTTTCCAGGGATTTGAGGTCTTGCATGATGTCTACTTTGATGCTAATTAGCATTTTCGAATATGAGAATAAATAGAGCCGAATATGCTGATAAAACTCAGAGAGATTTACATGGTTATCAAAACGTCATACCAATGTAAGCCTACACGAAACACAGCCCTTATTTTAAGTGTTTATAAAATCCCCTATGGGGAAAAAAACGAATGGTGTAAAAATGATTGGAACCATTTCCCTGTTTGACCACTAGGTTTTATTAGTATTTTGACACCTCCACTGTTAGGGGTGAAAAAACAGTCTGCCGCAACCTGATTGGCTGAATGTGAAATACAACATTGGGGATTAGCATTTAGCCACTCTAGCAGGGCGGTGGAAAATGTTTTTTTCCGACATTCTCTACATTAAATAAAGCTAATGAGGAAAGTGAAGCCTATGCAGCCTGAATGGAGAATGTTTTAGGTAGGAAGAGGTCACTAGGGATACGAATGTATTGCCGGCTGCATACAATGCGTTTGGATGGTAAGATGGAATGACTCAATATCGCCATCTGCCGAACTTGGGCTTGAAGTCAAGAGTTTAGTTGAACATCTGATTTGCTTCTTGCAGCAATTATCATGCGGATGGTACTGATGTGATGCACTACTGCTGTGTTGACAGGACATCTCTGATCTATATATACGCGGAAATCTAATTAGCATAATAAATATTAAAACAAACATCCAAATCTGTCAGTTTAAGCTATTGATATGTTTTGTTTTTTTGCATTGGATGCGTCTCAATCCACCACGTCTGCCTATGTCGCAATTTCGCATCTGCGGTGAAAGGTGACAGAGCTAGAGCGGTGTTTGTCAGACCATGAGACATCCCGAAAATCAGTCTTTTTCACAAAATCGTCTGTAGCGTCCGAACGGTTTGGCCTAGAAAACTATTAGGACCCCTCTTTTGGAAGATGAGACTCTCACGAACACGATGGTGTTCTCAAGTGTCTTGGGACTCTGAAGTCAGTACAGGCGATCTGCCAACTTCTGTCTGTAGCGTCCGAACAGTTTGGCCTACACACTAATATGCCAGTACATAAAGAGAAAGACCAGTGCTGCAACAAATATATTTTTTATGTGAAACACTTTGCAAGCCGTGTGAGTGTAAGCTAAAGCCTACTGAAGACCCTGGAAGATCATTAGCATCATGTGGAAAGCAGTCCAGAGTATCAAATTCACAATATCAATGACAGTGTCACAGTGGCACATGCTCCAGCTTGTTGTGCACTGCTCACCGCTTGACTAACCTACTCCCGATATATTTTTGATTGACAAAACAACATCCACACCCAGCAAACCTGTCCTTAATCCTTGGTTATTACAATGGTATGTGTTCAAGTGCACACTACTTTACTGAGATGACAAATTCCTTCAAGTTTATATCTTACAAAACGTCGATCCCTCTCATATGAAAGATTACAAATGAAAAACTGTCCTCTCTATGGACAGCTTTCATGTTTTACATAGATTTCCTTGACGGAATTTTTGAAGAACTTTTACAGAAATTGGACCTCACAAAGCAAGGTGTGCAACATGTATCAACTCAAGCTTGTAACCCTTATTACAAGCTTGTAACCCTAACCCATAAGACTCCTGAACAGCTAATCATGGCTACCTGGATTATTTGCACTGCCCCCCACCCCCACCCCACACCCCACACCCCATATTTTTATGCTGCTGCTACTCTGTTAATTATTTATGCATAGTCACTTTAACTCTACCCACATGTACATATTACTTAAACTACCTCAACTAGCCGGTGCCCCCGCACATTGACTCTGCACCGGTACCCCCCTGTATATATAGCCTCCCTACTGTTATTTTATTTTACTTCTGCTCTTTTTTTCTCAACATTTTTTTGTTGTTGTTTTATTTAACTTTTTTTTATAAAAAATAAATGCACTGTTGGTTAAGGGCTGTAAGTAAGCATTTCACTGTAATGTCTGCACCTGTTGTATTCGGTGCATGTGGCCAATAAATTTTGATTTGATTTGATTTATTTGATAGTTTTTTCTAACTACCATGTAACCTACTTCCTGTTTACACATCCAATCCACAAGTCTCTTGTTAATTAGGTCCCCAACCCCCTATGTAGTTACTGTATCTATTATTGCCAAACCACAAGGAAGTAAAGAAGTGTAATGAATACTCGGACAGAGTGGTAAGATCCAATCGCAGAATAGCGATGCTTTATTAGAGTACAGACAAGGGAATAGCTTAATCGTGGTCGGGCGGGCTGTGGTCAAAACCGGGCCAGGCAGAGACAGGCAGAGGTACCAAGGGAGCGGGCTTAGTCGTAGTCGAGGTCACAGGCACAGGATCAGAGGACGGTAATCACTGGGGTAGACAAGTAGAGGATTAAGCAATTCGGGGAGTCAAACAACAAGGCACAGGTCGGATACACGGGTAATCAAAAACAACAAACTCTCTCTCTCTCTCGGAACAAAACGCTTAGCAAGTCACAATGGAACAATACCTCGCACCGACTGAACTTCTGAGCACACCTTAAATCCTACACTAATTACTGACAGGTGTGCTCAGAACTCAGGTGAACCAGATCGAGTCTGATGACTCCCCCTCTCTGTAGATCGGGGAAGTGTCAGACTCTGTCTAGACCCAGCCAACCCCCGATCCCTTACAGTATCCCCCTCCCCAGGGCCGGCTCCTGACGGCCTTCTACCTCTACCGGGTGGTCTTCCTCTGGGTCGGGGTCCTGGATGATCTGGGTGTTCAGCGTGGAAAGCGGCCTTGAGAGCGGGATCCAGTATGTCCTTAGCAGGGACCCATGACCGTTCCTCAGGTCCATATCCCTCCCAGTCCACGAGATATTCGATGCCCCCTCGTCTCCGTCTTGACTCCAGTATCTCGTGGACTGTATAGGTGGTGTCCTGTTCCTCCTCCAAAGGTGGTTTAGTAGGTTGTTGAGCGATTGGGGGGTACATCGGGCTATAGTGGACAGGTTTCAATAGGGAGACGTGGAACGTAGGGTTTATCCTGTAGTGTCGAGGGAGTAACAGACGGTAGGTGACAGGGTTAATACGTCTCTGTACCTTGAAAGGACCGATGTACCTGGGTTGGAGCTTCTTACAGCTCCGTCGGAACCGCAGGTCTCGGGTAGACAGCCACACTCGTTGCCCGGGTTGATAAGTGGGAGTAGGTCTCCGGCGTCGGTCGGCGTAGGTCTTTTGCTGTTGTGAGGCTTGACTGAGATGTTGATGGGCCGTCTCCCAGACCTGCGCACTCCGACGGAACCACTCGTCCACAGCCGGTACCATCCCTGATGCGGTATCCCACGGGAACAGGGGTGGTTGATACCCTAGAACACACTGGAAGGGCGTTAGGCGTAGGGAGGTGTGAACGAGTGAGTTCTGAGCATACTCTACCCAAGGAAGGAATCGGCTCCACTCTTGCGGCTGCCGCGAACATTGTTGCCGTAAATATTTCCCAATTTCCTGGTTGAGCCGTTCTGTCTGTCCATTGGCCTGGGGATGATATCCGGAGGTTAGGCTAACCGAGATGCCCAAGCGTTCGCAGAAGGCCTTCCATACCCGGGATACAAACTGGGGGTCCCCGGTCGGAAACAATATCCTCCGGGACACCAAACTGCCGGAACACCTGGGTAAACATAGTCTCAGCCATCTGAGTGGCGTTAGGCAAACGGGTCATGGGTACTAACCGGCACATCTTGGAGAAACGATCGATGACCATGAGAATTACAGTATGGCCCTCTGATTCTGGTAGGTCGGTAACAAAGTCCATTGCAATGTGCGACCAGGGTCGTTGAGGAGTTGGCAATGGCATCAGCTTACCCTCCGGTAGTGCACGAGGTACCTTGGACTGAGCACATACGGGACAGGATAAGACATAGTCTCTGACGTCATCTGTGAGGGAATCCCACCAGTATTTGCGGCTGATGAGTCGTGTAGTTCGAGTGATCCCGGGATGACCAGATCCCAGCGACGTGTGGCACCATTCCATCAGTTGAGGTCGAAGTGGGGCTGGCACAAACACCTTAGACACCAGGGTTTCTGGAGGAGCTGGTTCCGCTTGTAAGCTCTCCTGAATAGTGTCATCAATAGCCCACCTCACAGGACCAGCACGGCAACTCATGGGGAGAATATGTTCTGGCTCCATGGGTCTTTCCGCGCGCTCGAACCGTCGGGAAAGCGCGTCCGCCTTACCATTCTTGGACCCGGGGATATAAGAAACAGTGAATCGGAAACGGTTGAAGAATAAAGACCACCTTGCCTGTCGGGAGTTCAGTCGTTTGGCACTGTGAAGATACTCCAGGTTGCGGTGGTCCGTGAGCACTTGGAACGGATGCTCTGCTCCCTCCAACCAATGTCTCCACTCCTCCAGTGCTAACTTCACCGCCAGTAATTCCCGATTACCCACGTCATAGTTCTGCTCGGCAGAATTCAGCTTCCTTGAAAAGAAAGCACAGGGTCGTGATTTAGGCGGCTCACCTTGGCGTTGGGATAACACGGCTCCAACTCCAACCTCCGAAGCGTCCACTTCCACGATAAACGGTAAGGTAGGGTCCGGCTGACATAGAATAGGAGCGGTGGTAAAGCGTTGTTTCAACGTCTCAAACGCACGCACTGCCCCCTCCGTCCAGTTCAGACCGCGACCCTTGTAGCTGGTCATCGCCGACAGGGGCGCTGCGGTTGTGCTGAAATTACGCACGAACCGTCTATAGTAATTGGCAAACCCTAAGAATCTCTGGAGCTCTTTCACCGTCTGGGGTTGAGGCCAGTCTTGTACCGCTTGCACCTTGGATTCATCCAGTTTAACCCCTTCGGGAGTGAGTATGGCCCCAAGGAAGGAAATCGTAGTGACATGGAATTCACTCATTTCTGCCTTCATGAACAGAGAATGTTGTAGGAGCCGATCCAGCACCTGTCGTACATGGGACACATGTTCACTCAGAGAGTTAGAATAGATTAGGATGTCATCAATGTACACGATAACAAAGCGATCAATCATGTCCCTGAAAATGTCATTCATGAACGCCTGGAATACTGAGGGCGCGTTGGTAAGTCCATAGGGCATGACACAATATTCGTAGTGTCCTCGATGTGTGATGAAGGCGGTCTTCCATTCATCCCCTTCTCTAATACGCACCAGATTGTACGCACTCCTGAGGTCCAGTTTACTGTACATGGAGGCCTGTCCCACCTGTTCGAGGGCTGCTGGAATCAAAGGAAGGGGGTAACGATTTTTGATGGTAATATCGTTCAACCCTCGATAGTCTATACAAGGACGCAGTCCGCCATCCTTTTTCTTCACGAAGAAAAAACTGGATGCGGCGAGAGACGTAGATGGGCGAATGCCCCCTTGCTGTAGCGCCTCATCAATATACTGGCTCATTGATTCTCGTTCCGGCTGTGACAACGGGTAGATTCTTCCACGAGGAGGTGTAGCCCCGGATAGCAGATCAATCCCGCAGTCCCAGGCCCGATGAGGTGGTAACACGGTGGCCCTCTCCTTGGAGAACACCTGCGCGTAATCCTGGTATTCTGTAGGGACAACAGTAGACACCGCACCCTGCGCATCCTCCACAGTAGACATTTTGCACGGTAAATTGAGGCACTCTGCCCTACATACCTCACTCCAAGCCGTGATATCGCCAGATTTCCAGGAGATGACCGGATCATGGGTGACGAGCCAGGGGTGGCCGAGAACTAGCGGCTCCCGTGGAGCGGAGATGACGAAAAAAATGATGTTCTCATGGTGTATGGAGCCCACTTGTAATTTGATTACCTCTGTACGGTGCGTAATGAACCCAGTGCCCATGGGCTCACCATCTAGCGCGTTGACTCGCAGGGGAGGTTGAATTGGGATAAGTTGAACTCCCAACTCCTCAGCAAGACCCATATCCAGAAAGCTGGCAGCCGCTCCGGAATCAATAAGTCCTTCCAACCTGCGCACTTTCTCTCCGACAGATAAGGTAACTGGCACATACATTTGTTTTGATGTAATGTTCAAAACTTGAGTCTCACTCACCGGTTTGGCAGTTCCGAGGCGATATCCTGGGGTACGGTTTGGTCGTACCGGACATAGACGAACGAAATGACCCGACTGACCACAATACAGGCATAGTCCGTCTTGCCGACGCTGTTGTCTCACCGAACCTTGTAGAGGTGACCGTCCCAGTTGCATAGGTTCCTCCTCAGATTCCTTAGGACCAGTGATCGAGGGCTCCCGGACTGTGGATACCTTGTGTTGCACTATCAGATTATCAATAGAGATGGCTATTTTGATAAAATCATGTAGCGCAGTGATATCTCCTCGACAAGCCAACTCAGTCTGTACGTCTTTGCGCAGCCCTCTTCGGAAAACGGTGAGCAAAGCAGTCTCGCTCCATCCGCTACCGGCTGCTATAGTACGGAACTCCAAAGCGTAGTCGGCTACTGTGCGACGGCCCTGCTGAAGTTCGCATAGTTGGTCTCCCACACTACGCCCAGATACTGGGTGGTCGAACACCTCTTGGAACAGTCTCTTGAACTGAACTTCCGCATTCAACTCGGGGACCTCAGCTGCCCAAAGCGCAGTAGCCCAATCCAGTGCTCTTCCCGTTAGCAGAGAAATCATGAAATCCACCCTGCTACGGTCATCGGAAAACATAGTACGATTATACGACATATACAGGGACGTCTGGAGTAGAAACCCCTGACATTTGCCAGGTTCCCCGTCGTACCTTGTCGGTAGAGAAATCGGAGGTGCAGGACGAGGACTGACCGTGCTCGGGGTGGTGCCTTCAGCCGCACCAGCGTTGAGTAGCTGCAGGAGTTCATCCATCCGTTTCTCCTGTATCTCCCATCACCTCTGTAATTCCGCTGGATCCATGGTAAAGGCGAGGTATTCTGTAATGAATACTCGGACAGAGTGGTAAGATCCAATCGCAGAATAGCGATGCTTTATTAGAGTACAGACAAGGGAATAGCTTAATCGTGGTCGGGCGGGCTGTGGTCAAAACCGGGCCAGGCAGAGACAGGCAGAGGTACCAAGGGAGCGGGCTTAGTCGTAGTCGAGGTCACAGGCACAGGATCAGAGGACGGTAATCACTGGGGTAGACAAGTAGAGGATTAAGCAATTCGGGGAGTCAAACAACAAGGCACAGGTCGGATACACGGGTAATCAAAAACAACAAACTCTCTCTCTCTCTCGGAACAAAACGCTTAGCAAGTCACAATGGAACAATACCTCGCACCGACTGAACTTCTGAGCACACCTTAAATCCTACACTAATTACTGACAGGTGTGCTCAGAACTCAGGTGAACCAGATCGAGTCTGATGACTCCCCCTCTCTGTAGATCGGGGAAGTGTCAGACTCTGTCTAGACCCAGCCAACCCCCGATCCCTTACAAGAAGGAGATTGTGAGATAATAAGGTAACTTCTGCACCAATGTCAAAGCACAATCTCAAAAGAAAAAGGAGGGTAAAACTTAATTCATAATCCCTTCATAATTCTGTAGATAACACTGCCAACAGTTAACAAGCCAAGAAATGTCAGGGTTTGTAAACGTGCAACGTGATACTTCAGGGAGTGTGCCTGTGGACAACAGAAATACAATTCTAGTTACTGATATGATCTCTCCTTTTTTATGGAGGAAGACTAAACCAACAAAAGACTGCTGCATTTCTAGCATACCTTAATCTGTTGAGCAATGCCCTTTATCTGTGTTCATATGAGAGAAAACATAACGTTTTGTCTAATGCAGATCATTTTCACGATGCCCTATAGCTGTTAACTGTCTTTTACTTTTAGATTGTGTATATTATGTGGATTGTTGTGAATTGTTAGATATTACTGCACTGTGGGAGCTAGAAACACAAGCATTTTGCTACACCTACAATAACCTCTGCGAAACACGTGTATGTGACCCAATAACATTTAATTTTGATTTGATGTCGATTTGTTTTCAGCTATTACTCTTGAAAAATCTGAATTGCTTTCCTCTCAATATCCCCTCCCATACACCCACACACACACACACCCACACACACTGAACACACAACAAACAGAAAATGGCAAGTACACAAATTGGGAGAGGGGGAGAGAGGAAGAGAGAGCAGATAGCAAATTGGGAGAGGGGAGGAGGAGAGAGAGAGAGAGATAGGAGAGAGAAAGAGAGAGGAGAGAAGCGCGAGAGAGAGAGAGAGTAGAACCGGAGAGAGAGAGAGAGAGATAGAAACAGGGAGAGAGAGAGAGAGAGAGAGAGAGAGGTGTGTGGCTCCTCCTTACTCTGTGTGCACTCTCTTCCTCTCGCTTTTTAGTGTGTGCCTCATTCACTCACTCAGAAAAGGTTGAGAGAGGGGACCAGAGGGTCTCTCAGCAAGAGAAGGGTAATAAAAAGGGGATCGTTTGAACAAGAGAGTGACTGTGTAAACAAAGGGAACTGGGTGGGGGTTGTGTTCTTTGGGACTCATCACTTGTCTTCAACACACCGCTCCTGCAGCACTATAGGACTCCTGGATGGAGAGGGAGCAGGGAGAGGTAAAGGCAGATCGCCTGGAGGGCCCAGACCCACTCTCTGACTCAGAGAGAGAGATGATCAAGGACACCTGGGCCAAAGTCTACCAGAACTGCGATGATGTCGGGGTGGCCATTCTCATCAGGTAAACTTTACCTATACTCTCTTTCCCTTGTTTCTTGCCTATAACATCTTGAAATTGTCAGTCTAAATACACTAATAAACTTGCCTAGGTGCACACATTTCCATTTGGGGAGTTGTGGAGGGCTGGTGACAGAAGAGCTGTAACTTATTGAATGCTAACTCTTTCAACACAGCACACACATATTGTTCTTGCTGTGTGAGTTTGCTTCTCCTTATTTATTACATTGCAACATGGCAATTGCACATGGCTCCTTATCTTGCTCATGGTTGTTTTTACCTAATCGTGTTGCAATAGTTGATTGTAATAAATAACAATGTTCTTGCAACCTAGATTACAATCTCTCCATGACCCTTGCATGATCCCCACTATAGGTGATGGGAACTAAAAGTTATTTTAACAAAGTGTGAAGATTGTAACATGACAATTGACTTGACTTGCGCGCTCTCAGTCTGTTAGAGAGTGCGCCATCACTCATCTCTGAGCTATTGCATCTGAAATTGGCTCCCTTACTATCCATATTCCTATCAGTTGGCAGAAGCAGAGGGAAAAGTGTCAATCCATCTTGCTGCTTATTCCAAGCTGACATATTTGGCTCTGCAGGTGCTCCCTCCCTGAGGGCAGATCATGTTTCACATATCTGCAGACCAGGGATCTCTGACCTAACTCCCTGAACCCTCACAGGGATGTCTCTGTCTAATCCCTCATTGAGCCCCATGAAGATGAGTGATCAGGGACACTCCCTCCATTCATCATTACATAGTGGACAGGAGGTTATTATACTGTATCAAACCATTCAAAGGCAGATAGCTTTGGGTATACTACCGTACATGACTTACTGTATACTTACTGTCTATATATTACAGCAGACAAGCAGCAGCTAACCTCTGTGACCATTTGTGATGAGCAAGGCCTTTGGAGTGGTGAGGTTTGCACCATGAGACAGCATTGCCCCTCACAAGTCAATAACTATGTACCAAGAGAGTTTTCATCTATATTTTTTGTAGCCGTCTATTTACCACCACAAACCGATGCTGGCACTAAGACCGCACTCAACGAGCTGTATAGGGCCATAAGCAAACAAGAAAATGCTCATCCAAAGGCTCCTAGTGGCTGGTGATTTTGATGCAGGAAAACTGAAATCCGTCTTACCTAATTTCTACCAGCAATTCTAGATCACCTTTACCCCACACACAGAAACACATACAAAGCTCTCCCTCGCCATCCATTTGACAAATCTGACTATAACTATATCCTCCTGATTCCTGTTTACAAGCAAAAACTCAAACAGGAAGTACTAGTGACACGCTCAATACAGAAGTGGTCCAAAGAAGCAGATTTTAATCTACAGGACTGTTTCGCTAGCACATACTGGAATATGTTCCGGGACTCATCCGATGGCATTGAGGAGTTTATCACATTAGTCTCTGGATTATAGGCAACATGCGGACTGAGCTAAAGGCTACAGCTGCCGCTTACAGGACTAAGATTGAATCCTACTACACCAGCTCTGATGCTCGTCGGATGTGGCAGGGCTTGCAAACTATCACAGATTACAAAGGGAAACCCAGCCGCGAACTGCCCAGTGACGCAAGCCCACCAGACGAGCTAAATGCATTAAATGCTCGCTTCGAGGCAAGCAACACTGAACCATGTGTGAGAGCACCAGCTGTTCCAGATGACTGTGTGATCATGCTCTCCGTAGCCAATGTGAGTAAGAACTTTAAACAGGTTAACATTCACAAGGCCGCAAGACGGATTACCAGGACGCGTACTCAGAGCAAGCTCTGACCAGCTGACAAGTGTCTTCACTGACATTTTCAACCTCTCCCTGAACCAGTATGTAATACCTACATGTGTCAAGCAGAACACCATAGTCTCTGTGCACAAGAATGTCAAGGTAACCTGTGTAAATGACTATTGCCCCGTAGCACTCACATCTGTAGCCATGAAATGCTTTGAAAGGCTGGTCATGGCTCACAACAACACCATCATCCCAGACACCCTGGACCCACTCCAATTCGCATACCTCCCCAACAGATCCACAGATGACGCAATCTCTATTGCACTCCACACTGCCCTTTCTCACTTGGATAAAAGGAACACCTACGTTAGAATGCTGTTCATTTACTATAGCTCAGTATTCAACACCATAGTGCCCTCCAAGCTCATCACTAAGCTATGGACCCTGGGACTGAACACCTCCCTCTTCAACTGGATCTGGGACATCCCCAGGTGGTGAGGGTAGGCAACAACACATCCGCCACACTGGCTCTCAACACGGGGACCCTCACGGGTGCATGCTTAGTCCCCTCCTGTACTCCCTGTTCACCCATGACTGCGTGGCCGTGCACGACTCCAACACCATCATTAAGTTTGCGACAACACGACGGTGGTAGGCCTGATCACCGACGACGATGAGACAGCCTATAGGGAGGAGGTCAGAGACCTGGCAGTGTGGTGCCAGGACAACAACCTCTCCCTCAACGTCAGCAAGACAAAGGAGCTGATAGTGGACTACAGGAAACGGAGGGCAGAGCATGCCCCCATTCACATCAACAGGGCTGTAGTGGAGCGAATTGAGAGCGTCGAGTTCCTCGGTGTCCACATCACTAAGGATCTATCATGGTCCAAACATACAAACACAGTCGTGAAAGGGCACAACAACGCCACTTCCCGCTCAGGAGGCTGAAAAGATTTGTCATGGGCCCTCAGATTCTCAAAAAGTTCTACAACTGCACCATTGAGAAAATATTGACTGGCTGCACACCACTTGTTATGGCAACTGCTTGGCATCCGACCACAAGGCACTACAGAGGGTAGTGCGGACAGCCAAGTACATCACTGGGGCTGAGCTCCCTGCCATCCAGGACCTCTATACCAGGCTGTGTCAAAGGAAGGCCCTAGAAATTGTCAAAGACTCCAGCCACCGAAGTCATAGACTGTTCTCTCTGCTACCGCACGGCAAGAGGTACCAATGAACCAAGTCTGGAACCAGCAGGACCCTGAACAGCTTGTACACCAAGCCATAAGACTGCTAAATAGTTAGCTAAATAGTTAACCAAATAGCTACCCGGACTATCTGCATAGACCCATTTTGCACTAAAAAAATTTTAGTCATCACATACGCTGCTGCTACTGTTTACTATCACTTTACTGTCACTTTATTCCTAGTTAATGTACATATCTACCTCAATTACCTCATATCCCTGCACATCGACTTGGTACTGGTACACCTTCTATATAGCTAAGTAAATGTGAATTATTATGTGGATTATAATGGAAATTGTTGTAGGGATTTATACAAATTTTCATAAGGGAAAATGAAGTATGAAATTTCAAAGTGGAAATTACAAACTTCAGAACCTCAATACACTACAATTTAAAAATGTCCTGCATTGCAGTAAAGTTCTCCTGGACCAGGGTGATCAAATTAAGATCTTACACCTGTAGGAGTTGAAAGAAAGGTTGACAAAGAATATCATATGAAGATACGTGCTCTGTCACAGACTGATGTGTGTCAGTGTCTTAGTGCAATGTTGCAATTTAGATGTGTCAAAGATCAGAGTACTGTACCAGCTTTGAAAACTGTAGAATAACTATAACTAAGCCACCACTTCAGACACAGTACAGATGTAGTAGGATCTTAATTGTATCACCCTGTTGCAGGATAGCTCTCCTGCAATGCAGGAAATGTAAAACTTGTAGTGTGTATTTGAGGTTAAAAAGGCTTCTGAAGTTTGTAATTTCCACTTTGAAATTTTAGACTTGATTTTCCTTTACGAAAAATGTATTAAACCCTACAAAAATGTTAATTAATTATAATCCTCATAATAATTCACATTTCCTGTTTCTGCAGGATTATTTTCCTACTGTAGAAAACTGGTTCAAAGGAAGATCCTACATCTGTACCATATGAAAAAAAAACATTTTCAGTATACGTTGGAAGTTTCTAAATTACTCCTGGAAACAATATGATTACCTAAATTATATGGTATTATACCTGAAGGCAAATTCGCACTGCGTGACCTAAGAATGTCCCTTTTTCTAGGACTTCAGGGCATCTCTTAAACACAGGTCTTATGACAGCTTGATTAGATGTCCTCTTCTTCCCTCCATTCACATCCTCTACAGTCTGTAGATCCTCAGCCAGGAATCCCAAGAATGAGGGGTAATCGATAGAGCCAAGTTAAATTATCCACTTGACTCCGAAAGAGCAGTTCCTATATTTTCAGTACAGTTAACCTCCGTAGTCTATCCCAGCCTCTGTCTGCTTCCCTTCTGTTTTGATGTTAAGAACATGATTATCAAAAGGACATAATCTTGGTCATAAATTGCAATGCTTTCATTTCATGCAATACTTGAATACCGGTACTTAAAACATCTTAAGCCTCAAATTGCTCTGAGGCATTCCAAATGCCCGTAGTATTATATGGTGACATGGAGCACTTACAGGGAGCAAACTTTAGCTGTTAAGGGGTCTTTGAATCATTGGAATCTTTGGAGATTTGAAGGCATGTTCAGGTATAATCTCAAACCTCAACTTCTCTCTCTCTCTGTCAGTTTAATACTAAAAGCTATGCTTGGTTCATTTAGTCCTTTGTCTCCCGAGTGGCGCAGTGGTCTAAGGCACTGCATCGCAGTGCTAGCTGTGCCACTAGAGATCCTGGTTTGAATCCAGGCTCTGTCGTAGCCGGCCGCGACCGGGAGACCCATGGGGCGGCGCACAATTGGCCCAGCGTCGTCTAGGGGAGGGAATGGCCGGCAGGGATGTAGCTCAGTTGGTAGAGCATGGCGTTTGCAACGCCAGGGTTGTGGGTTCGATTCCCATGGGGGGCCAGTATGAGAAAAAAATAATGTATGGACTCACTAACTGTAAGTCACTCTGGATAAGAGCGTCTGCTAAATGACTAAAATGTAAATGTAAATAACTAAAATATCCAATGCAAAATACCAATAGCTCTCTGAAAAGTATTGTATCGGTGATGCATCTCATTGTAACAAAATCCAGGGTATCCATAGGTATTTGCATTTATCAAATACCTATTCAATTTCCACTCAGGGCAAGTATGTAACTTTCATAATAACCATGAAACTATCTCAGAAATGAGCCCTATCCCAGAGTAGGATCAACAGGCTGATGATATAAAACACTAATGAGGCTATTTATATGCAGCCACCACAGGTCATGGGAGAGATTAAACACCACTGTCTTAACTACTTATGAGTGAAACAGACGATCTGGCTTTACAATTGAATGTCATTGAATTAGCACATGCATAGACCCTCCACTTTAAGCAGAAGAGAATGAGACACCCCCTCCTCTGTCTTCCTTCTCTGATTCCTCCCAACACTTGATTTCACAGGTGAAGATAGTGGAAGCAATGTGCTTTCATCGAAACACAATGCCTTCCCCATAGGGCATCCCTTTTCTGTTATGGGTTTTAAAAGGATAGAGGTATGGGACATCTGGAACAGATACACACAGACAGCTGTATTGTATCTGTCCTGGTCACTGTAGGCTGTTGCTTATTGCTCAATACTACTCTCTTTCACAATGTGGTCTCTGGTGGTCAAACCAGTTTATTCCACAAAGAAAACCTATATCATCATTGGAGGTATTCTGTTTTTAAATGATATAGAATTAGATGGGTGGTAAGTAAGGTATATGTCTTATTCTAATACATTGTTTGGGTGTTTACAAGAGCTGATAGGAATACACAAATACTGTAGCACACCAATGTTGAACATGAGTGTGGGTGTAGGTGCATCCGTCCAAACCAACCATATGGTATATCCCTATGATGTAGAGCTAATTGTCTCCAACCTCGACTGTAACACAGTGAGAGGGAAGCAGCAGATGAAGTCACTGCTGCCTGAGTACACACAGCCATTCTGACCGTTTATTTCAGTGTGTAATTACACGAGCAACCAACTAACCATCTCAAGCTCATTAGCGCACTTCACTGTTGGTCCGCTCATACGGCCAGACATGGAGATGATGAAAGGCAGTGTGAGGGAACATGTTGTTGTAACCTCTCCAGTTAACTGATAATAAAGAGTGATTCATTTAATATTGACTTCAGGTGTCCCTGCTGTTGAATTTCCACCACAGCAGCTTTGTGAGTTTTAGGGGAGCGCTGTGCAGCTTGTATCCAGTCACTGTCAGGCACTGAGACCAGACATCGGGGACCACATTGGAAACAAGTGGAATCGCTATACCGTGTTATCGCCTGGGTTGTACTCAGTGGATCTTCCAAATAAATTAATCACCGGGACCAACAGATCTCCTAGACTCAGGAGAACATAGCGGTAGCCACTGATATGCCAGGATGTACACAGACCTGATGACAGGCTGGGTGTCATACTGAATGGATTCTTACCAATGCCTTGCTCTACATTGTGGTACATTATATAATTGTGCTATTTATTATTATTTTTATTTATTTTTTACATCACTCTGTTTGTTTTTGCTAACTGACCAACATTTCTTCTGCCTTATCAGCTGGAAGAAATGTACAGTTGAAGTCGGAAGTTTACATACACTTAGGTTGGAGTCATTAAAACTTGTTTTTCAACCACTCCACAAATTTCTTGTTAACAAACTATAGTTTTGGCAAGTCGGTTAGGACATCTACTTTGTGCATGACACAAGTAATTTTTCCAGCAATTGTTTACAGACAGATTATTTCACTTATAATTGTCACGATCGTTGATGAACGGGTCAGACCAAGGCGCAGCGTGATATGCATACATGTTTATTTGACTATTAAACACAACGACAAAACAAGAAACGAAACGTGAAGTCCAAGGTACACAAACAACATACCTAACACGGAACAAGATCCCACAACCCACTAGTGCCAATAGGCTGCCTAAGTATGGTCCCCAATCAGAGACAACGAGCTACAGCTGCCTCTGATTGGGAACCACACCGGCCAACATAGAAATACACATAATAGAACACCAACATAGAAATACCCAACATAGAACATACACACCCTGACTCAACATTTAAGCGTCCCCTGCGTCAGGGCGTGACAATAATTCACTGTATCACAATTCCAGTGGGTCAGAAGTGCACATACACTAAGTTGACTGTGCCTTTAAGCAGCTTGGAAAATTCCAGAAAATGATGTCATGGCTTTAGAAGCTCCTGATAGGCTAATTGACATCATTTCAGTCAATTGGAGGTGTACCTGTGGATGTATTTCAAGGCTTACCTTCAAACTCAGTGCCTCTTTGCTTGACATCATGGAAAAATCAAAATAAATCAGCCAAGACCTCAGAAAAAAAGATGGGAGACCTCCACAAGTCTGGTTCATCCTTTGGAGCAATTTCCAAATGCCTGAAGGTACCACATTCATCTGTACAAACAATAGTACGCAAGTATAAACACCATGGGACCACGCAGCCGTCATACCGCTCAGGAAGGAGATGCGTTCTGTCTCCTAAAGATTAACGTACTTTGGTGCGAAAAGTGCAAATCAATCCCAGAACAACAGCAAAGGACCTTGTGAAGATGCTGGAGGAAACAGGTACAAAGGTATCTATATCCACAGTAAAACGAGTTCTATATCGACATAACCTGAAAGGCCGCTCAGCAAGGAAGAAGCCACTGCTCCAAAACCGCCATAAAAAAGCCTGACTACGGTTTTCAACTGCACATGGGGACAAAGATCGTACTTTTTGGAGAAATGTCCTCTGGTCTCATGAAACAAAAATATAACTGTTTGGCCATGATGACCATCGTTATGTTTGTAGGAAAAAGGGGGTTGCTTGCAAGCCGAAGAACACCATCCCAACCGTGAAGCACGGGGGTGGCAGCATCATGCTGTGGGGGTACTTTGCTGCAGGAGGGACTGGTGCACTTCACAAAATAGATGGCATCATGAGGAAGGAAAATTATGTGGATATATTGAAGCAACATCTCAAGACATCAGTCAGGAAGTTAAAGCTTGGTCACAAATGGGTCTTCAAAATGGACAATGACCCCAAACATACTTCCAAAGTTGTGGCAAAATGGCTTAAGGACACCAACGTCAAGGTATTGGAGTGGCCATCACAAAGCCCTGACCTCAATCCTATAGAAAATTTGTGGGCAGAACTGAAAAAGCGTGTGTGAGCAAGGAGGCCTACAAACCTGACTCAGTTACACCAGCTCTGTCAGGAGGAATGGGCCAAAATTCACCCAACTTATTGTGGGAAGCTTGTGGAAGGCTACCTGAAACGTTTGACCCAAGTTAAACAATTTAAAGGCAATGCTACCAAATATTAACTGAGAGTATGTAAACTTCTGACCCACTGGGAATGTGATGAAAGAAATAAAAGCTGAAATAAATCATTCTCTACAATTATTCTGACATTTCACATTTTAAAAATAAAGTGGTGATCCTAACTGACCTAAGACAGGTTATTGTTACTAGGATTAAATGTCAGGAATTGTGAAAAACTGAGTTTAAATGTATTTGGTTAAGGTGTATGTTTTTACAAACACAGTTATATTGTATTTGAATAGCACATGCTTGTGCTCAGGCCATGGTTGAGTAAATGAAGCATAACCTGTACAGAACCTGGAAAGTGGTTAAACATTAAAAGGGCAGTCATGCTCTGCATCTGTCTCAACACGCTCCAATTATGTTTACTTATAATATCTCACTGGGCCAAGTAATGCACCTGGAGTTGAGGGATAGCTAGCCAGCTCTGGTGGAGGGCTGAAGGGCAATGAGATTAGGTGAGTAGCTGTTCAAACTCTGGTCTCCCACACTCCTCCTCTCCTCTACAGGCTCTTTGTGAACTTCCCCTCCTCCAAGCAGTACTTCAGCCAGTTCCAACAGGTGGAGGACCCTGAGGAGCTGGAGAGGAGTGCCCAGCTCAGGAAGCACGCACGCAGGGTGATGAACGCCATCAACACCCTGGTGGAGAACCTCCATGACGGGGACAAGTTGGTGTCTGTGCTGAAGCTGGTGGGCAAGGCCCATGCACTCAGACACAAGGTGGAGCCTGTCTACTTCAAGGTGAGGAAGAACCGGGCAACATGTTTTCACATAACTAGCCACCATTATCCACAGGCACACCAAAGCAAATGTATCACTCATTCCATTTCCCTATCTCTCTCTTCCCAGATCCTGTGTGGGGTGATTCTGGAGGTGCTGGGTGAAGACTTTCAAGATTACATCACTCCAGAGGTGGCAGGGGCATGGACCAAACTGCTGGATGCAGTCTACTGGCACGTGACAGGCGTGTATGAGGAAGTGGGTTGGGCCTCCAGTTCTGCTGTGTGAACCATCTGTCTGTCTGGGTCAAAGTGACCGTCAGTGACTACTGTGGACTCCCGGAGACCGACTGCTACTGGGCCTTGGTTTAGGAGTAGGACAATCTACGTCTGACCATTCAAGGGAAGAAATGTATCTTTCCAGAGCTCATAGAATCTTCCTATGTATCATCATGGCTCCCTCCCTGTATCTTTCCCATGCCCCATTGTGGGGTGTGTTCTTCTGATGGACTCTCTTATGAACGATGGGGTGGTGGTTTGTGCTGACTTTGGTTGGAATGTGTGTGAATGGGTATATGTTTATCTGCATTTATGTTTGAGGTAGAGCATAAGCCCTACACAGACTAATAGAATCTTGGATGTTTCTTCAGTTACATTACCAAGAGATTATGTTGAAGATTGAGGATTGGCAGATATAAGAACTGTATGTAATGTCATAGAGACAGTCTACAAGTACACTCCCCTACACATGTTTTTATCTTTACACCAAAAACATACATACAGGGGAGTGTATGTCTTCTGCTAATCACTCACTTGTTAACCTGGGTTGTGCCTTTCTTTATCCCTAACACTGGCATCAAGGCCTTCGTTCATTTCATATGATGCTTTGCTGGTGTTTCCTGTACAGTATATTGTACTTCAGAATCAGATCCACTTCACTCTCTCTCACCTCGGACTGATACAAAATGAGAAATAACTTGTGAGGTGTGGTGTCCACATTTAAGCAATGTAAATGTTTCTTATCAATCCCTGTATCTGTATAATAACATATTAAACCAAAACAATTATGAGATCTATAATGGACGTCATGATCCTATTCATCCCATGCTCCTATTACATGCATATTATTCTTAATCACTTGTTTTTCACTGTGAAGTATTTGCACCCTCTTTCATCCTGCTGTGGCCTACTCCCTGTGAGTCAGCAGTCCTAAGGATAGGTGGATTAGCAGGAGGCCTAAAGGTATTTATACATGTCACGAGACCCTCAGAGAGAGCGTTGCTCAGTTCTGAATCCAGCCACCTCTCCCTGCACATCATTGATTGTTGTGGGAATACAAGTGCACATGTTGCCTTTCATTCCAGCATCAACAAAGACTTGTGTACCGTATGTGCTCCCCCATACTAACCTATATAGATATCATTACACAATAGAAGGTGCTGTAACAATACATTAGTATAATGAGTCTGGATTACTCAATAACTTCTATGAAGGTGCAATAGAACTGGTAGTGATATGTTATTTACATATATGCCGAATCTGATACTGAAAACAATGACATGAACTTGAACACACACAAACATTAAGACAGCTATGCTTTGTCCCCAAGGTGAAAGCTTTCCTTATATAATCTAGGTTTTTGTTACATAAATGATTTTACACAAGGTCAAGTTCAAGTAAGTTCAAGAATTCTAGTAGCCTACAAGTGCATGCATTCTTTGTTTAATATAGGCTACACACCCTGCGCTGTCAATGCACTGAGACATTACACAATAAAGACAAAACACTAATTGTGACTCTAAGCATGAGAGTGTGCTACTACAGCAAAATCAAGGTCCATGACAGCCCTGCAGTGCTAGTTCGACCCACACCACATGAATGGCCACAGCACATAGTGCCCCTGTAAAGCTACACTGGTGGCGATGGAGGGTTAAATGGTTGAGCTCAGACCACAAACACTAAGTTAATCCCACAGGCTAATCTTGCCACTAGCTAGAGAGCCACAGGAATTGTCTGATTGTTACCACACTCATTCTACTCTCCCTCAATGAGAGCAATGGTCCCAGTGTTCTAACCCAGCAGCAGCCCCAAGACGGGATACATGTGATAGGACTATGTGCACCACTACGATGGTCCTCACCACTATTGCTGTCATCCTATACAGAAAGTTCTCAAACCGAGTCGAACCGTAAGTAATCTTGTTTTTACTCTTTCTCTTGCTCTGGTCACGTTCACTTCTTGAGGGAAAAGTTAGTTGATAATACACAGAGCCACATGTGTCTGGTCACATGTACAGGTAAGGTTGATATACAGATTTTGTGAAATGTATCTTGGTTGGTTCAATACTTAAGTTTTTGGTTGCTTTGAACTTACCTCTTACATCACAGTGTTATGTCACACAGTGCATCAGAACTGTTAACGGTAGTGTATTTTGATACTGCCATGGAATTCTCTCATGGGATTTGTGTACTGTTTGTAAGTGTTCTCATGCCCTTCATAGAAAACTACAGCAAATGTCTCAATAGCACTTCATTATTTGAACAGATATCTAATTACTGTAGAAACTCTGTCTCAAATGGACAGAATACAACCTAAAGATGGCAGACCAATCAAACATGAAATCAAACATTGATCAAAGTGTGATTACTCCAAGGGGCAATCATCTAAATGCTAGATCAATTATGCTATATCATTAAACTATCCTGGAAGTCATGGCTTGTCTTCCTCAAATAATACACAATCTTGATCTAACATCAAGTGGAAAGTTTCCAGGTTAGTGCTGCGGCTGCAACCTGGACTCAGGGGTAGACGTAACATAGTAAACAAAAATCTGGGACACTCACATTAGTATGACATGTTACATTTGCTATGGTATGTATTAATTTGTGGATGCTAAGTAGTTGCAAAATAGCTAAAAAGTAGTAAGTAGTTGCAAAGTTGTTAATTAGCTAAAATGCTAATTTGAGTGTCCCGGACAGAGTGACTATATATTAACAAAATTGCATCTAATGTAGGGATGAATAAAGAGAAATGCATCTGAGCTCTTGAGTAGAGGGCTACTAATTGACTCAAAGTGCAATCCTCTCAGCCCCCCTGGCCATGCATGACCACTCACACGGCAACAGCACATCATGTCATGTGGCTGCAGCAACATATCAAGCTCAGAAGCATGGACACATCTTCATTATTTGATCATATCAAATTAGGCTTCATTGTGACTATATATTAACACGTTTTATCAGTATTACTGACAAGTCAAGGGTTGTAATGAAGCTGCAATATATGCTAACATCAACAACACTGGATTTGTTACGAATTCCAATTTGTTGTGGCTAATGTTAGCTAGGTGGCTAACCTAATGTTAGCTAGGTGGCTAACGTTAACTAGGCTAGGGGTTAAGGTTGGGGGTTAAGGGTTAAGGTTAGGGTTAAGGTTATTGTTAGGGTTAAGGTTAGGGTTAATCTTAGGGTTAGGAGTTAGGTTAAAGGATTAAGGTTAAGGTTAGCTAACATGCTAAGTAGTTGCAAAGTAGCTAAAAATTAGTAAGTAGTTGCAAATTAGCTAAAATGCTAAAGTTATCCATGATGAGATTCAAACACGCAACCTTTGGGTTGCTAGACGTTCGCATTATACAGCCCTCCTTTCGGTTTTTTCAGTAGCCTTCTGTATTATATAACCAACCCAAACATAACATACAGTATCATACTAATTTGAGTGTCCCGGACAGAGTGACTGTATATTAACAAATTGCATCAGTCTTACTGGCAAGTCAAGGATTGTAATGAAGCTTCAATATGTGCTAACATCAACAACACTGGATTGATGAATGTCCCTCAACTCCCATTTCAGGCACAATGTTGATGATGCCAATGAGAAAGAGGTGCCCTACACGAAGAGCAATGGAGTGGACCCTAAGAAATGACAACCCTCACAGCATATGTAGCTCTAGTCTACAGTCTACATGGTACATAAAAGTCAAATAACAAGTAGCCTACAGAACTGAATGCTGTCTGATATTTCAAGATGTGGAGAGGAATGCAAGAGGAGGAGAGGAAGCGAGAGGGAGGGAAAATGGAACATGTGGCAGAAGCAGAGATGCTTTCAAGTACTCACCGCTACGCTGCTCCCACTAAATGATTTAGTGGGAGAACAACAATCCATCAGCTCTGTGGAAGGTTATTATAAATGCATTACCTCCCCAAGCCTACCAGTTCAATGGAGTCATGCAGGGCCTCATAAATATGGGACAATAAAGGGACACACAAAAAAGACTCAGGATGAATGAAATAGGCTTTATTGTATTAGTGTGAACTTTCACTCTAACTGTGCGTAGACGCTCTCAGATCTGAGGTGGGTCTTTTCAAATGAAGAGACGTGAGTTTATTCATTTATTCATAGCATGATATCTCCCTAAATGATTAATGTCCCCCCGCATGTCAGCTTTTATGCACCGTCTTTTCTCTCTTTTCTTCTAGACATGAACTGAAGACAGGTCTTCACCTTGATGGCTACACATCTGGTGAGTTCTCTCAGTGGCTGCATCCTTTTAAATCGATTTTTATTTGGATTTCATGTAATGGACATACACAAAATAGTCCAAATTGGTGAAGTGAAATGAAAAAAATAACTTGTTTCAGAAAATTCTAAAAAATGAATAATGGAAAAGTGAAGCCCCTAAATAAGATATGGTGCAACCAATTACCTTCAGAAGTCACATAATTAGTTAAATAAAGTCCACCTGTGTGCAATCTAAGTGTCACATGATCAGTCACATGATCTCAGTATATATACACCTGTTCTGAAAGGCCCCAGAGTCTGCAACACCACTAAGCAAGGGGCACCACCAAGCAAGCTGCACCATGAAGACCAAGGAGCTCTCCAAACAGGTCAGGGACAATGTTGTGGAGAAGTACTGATCAGGGTTGGGTTGTAAAAAAATATCCGAAACTTTGAACATCCCACAGAGCACCATTAAATCCATTATTTAAAAAATTGAAAGAATATGGCACCACAACAAACCTGCCAAGAGAGGGCTGCCCACCAAAACTCACGGACCAGGCAAGGAGGGCATTAATCAGAGAGGCAACAAAGAGACCAACGATAACCATGAAGGAGCTGCAAAGCTCCACAGCGGAGATTGGAGTATCTGTCCATAGGACCACTTTAAGCCGTACACTCCACAGACATGGGCTTTACAGAATAGTGGCCAGAAAAAAGCCATTGCTTAAAGAAAAAAATAAGCAAACACGTTTGGTGTTCGCCAAAAGGCATGTGGGAGACTCC